GGGGGGGGGGGGGGGTTCTTGCAGTGTCTGGAGGGCAACATATTGAGGCCTTGCGGCAGGCCACGCCTCGGTTGGACAGGGCACTGTGTTTGTGTCCGTGGCAGGGGGTTATTTGGCGTGACTGGACACGGGTTGCGTTTCGATTTCTGCTGGGGAGCGATGAAAGGGGTGGAGTGATTCAGATGTTGGGGTTAGGCTGCCGTCCCGATTATTTCTCTTTGATTGCTGGGGCTGGCGATGTTGTCGCCAGCTGCCCAGCGTCATTGCGTCAATACATACATTTCACCTGGTGCGCCTCTTTTGGTACATTACGTCGTTTGCTTTATTTCCTCACTCTCTCTCTTGTCACCAGCCGTCCGTGTTCTACACCCTGCTGCACACCCTGGACTTCGAGGCCATCCTTGGGGTGATGCAGGACGCTCGAGAAGCCTTTGCGGTCGCGTCGCGGGACTACAGGTGTCTACTGGCCGCCCGTATCGTGTTGTGCTCACGCCGCTTGTCGCGTGCCTTCTTCTTGACGGACCCAACGCGTTTGGGATTCCTTATGCTACACACTAGTGAAGTCGTCAGTGCCTCTAGTGCAGGTACTGTTATATTTCTCCCGCGAGTTGCGGTGCCATGCAGTGTAATTCCCTCCTTCCTGTATGTGTCCCGTATTTATAGACAATAGCATTGAAACACAGATCGAGATACACCTTTTTGTTTTTGTTTTTCGTTTTTTCTTGCCGCTTTGCTGTGATTGGCCGATCCACGCAGGATGAAGGAGAGAACGTACTTGAAGCTCAGGAGGGCAAGGTGGCGATCGGGAGTGCTGCTGGTGTTCGAGGGCTGGAAACGCAAGCTGAAAGCGGCAACGGAGGTGTGCACTACAGCTGTCCCCCTACATGCCTTGATACCACCTGCCTTTATCTACATGAAACGTTGACTTCACCATCGCGTTCTTGTGGAGTTGTTTTCAGAAAGACAGCAGTAAATGGCCGTGGATTTCCAAGCCCGAATCCCTGCGCCTCTCTTGTCAAGACCTTCCCCCCCTCTCTGTACGCTTAGCTTGATCGCTGCAGCTGTTTTGCGCTTGCTGACTGTTCCTTCTCTTCTCTCCCTCTCCTCCTTTTCCGCGACACCTACCATGTCTTTGGTCTCGGCTTCTTTTTTTTTCTCAACAGGAACACAAACTTTCTGAAGAGCAGTGGGAGTCAGCTAGGCGGGGCTGCAGCACGCCGGTCCTGTTCCTACGGGCTCTCTTTGATGGGGGCAGGGCAGACAGCCCTGAGAAGTGCGCCGAGGAAGAAGTCAGGCGAGCAACTCCCCCTTCTTGGCTACTTTTACGCCCATTTATCTTTCGTTACCTCATGTCGCCCACAAAGTAGTCTCTATCTTTCTTGGCTGGAGAGCTCTGATCCGGAGTCGCACAGAATAGCCCCCCTCTGGTGCATTTGCCTTCCAAATTGGGCGGTTTCCGCATGGCGGTAAAGAGCGTTCAAGTTAAACAGGGTTTGTGCTCGAGCGTGAACATAGGTCAATTTGCAGTGTGATGTTTGAACAACACTACCACTTGACGTGGCTTGAAATGTCCAGTTGCTGCGAAGAGTGAAGTGCCTGCTACCAACAGTGGACATGGTTGATCCATCGCTCCATGAATTAATTGGCTTGCTAAGTTTTCGCTGCACGCTGAGTCAGCACTGCTTTACGTAGGTGTAGCTCCCGTTCGCGTACATACGAACGACACATCTCGTATTCTAACTTCATGCTTATTCCGTGGAAACTTTGAAGTCTCTGTTCCCAGCAACCGAGCCCTCAAGTGAATTCATGCTGGTTGGGGGTCCCCTTGTGCTATTTTTTCTTGTTCTTTTTTACAGGTTCGAGTCCTTTCTGAACGAGTGGGAAGGCGCTGTCCGCAGCATCGAGATCAAGCGGGAAGGTCGTCTGGAGAAGATGTACTTCGTCGTGCCGGAGTGGTGCAGGGCTCACTGGAAGAAAACCCCCGTGATCGAAATGAGGTGGGGATGTGCCCGTCGGCATGCGTGTTCGTGTGTTTCTGTGTGGTTACATGTGTATGTATATGTTCGTGGTGGAATGCGTGTTGTTTTCTCCCCTCCCCCCCCCACCCACCCATGGAAATGGGGGGAGGAAGAACTACCGGTAGTAGACAGGTATATGTACCTGGGAGTAGAGATTTCGAAGGAGTGCTCATGGGACGCACACATAGGAAAGTTGATTGGGAAGGGTAAAGCTCAGGTGTTCATCAACGATCTGTTGGAAGTCGTAGAGGCAGTCCGGAAGGGAGTAAAAGTAGGGGACACGGAAACGTCGGTTTCAGGAATGCTGTTTGCGGATGATTTTGTCGGTATGTCGGACACCCCTGAGGGACTGCAACTGCAAATTGACGCGGCGAAGAAGTTTACTGATAAGTGGAGATTGTCTGCCAACGTT